GATTTGGGTTGAATGATCACATACAGAGCACAGCAAAGTGTATTTCTCTAATATTTCAATGTTAATGCAGAAAAAAATAACTAACACAATGCGTCAAGCTCCAGTACGAGAACAGTAAAAGTACAGCAGAGGTGCAAAAATAATTTAGATAAATACATCTACGACAATGTTTATAGACAGGTTAAAAAACAAAATTTTACTATATAATTATCAAAAATAAAATGCATGCTTTGTTTAAGACCATTCAGTGCAAAGTCTGCAGATAGCCCAGACTTGTAAACTTCAGCTGGCCAGACACATTACAATTTTTCTCATTTAGCCTGATGGTTTAATGAAAACGTGCTTGATACCCCCATCCATACTAAAGAGCGCTGATGGAGTATTCTTCCCTGCCGGCTATTTTATTGACAGTTGACACCCACGGCACTCAGAACGCTCGAATAGTGACTTCAGCTGACTGGCTTCAGTCACTCTTCAGCCCACTTTTTTCCACCCAACGTCATTTTCATCCAAGGCATTTCAAAAATCAACTTTTGTTGAGCTGGGTGGTGCAGAAAGGGCTACCCATGGCCGAAATGTAATCTGTGGGTGATATGCCTGTATGGCAAGCTTTACCTAGTCATGTTTCCACAACATCTTCCCGCCCCATCGGAGCCCTAGCTAAGGGAGTGGGGCTTCTGGCTATGAGGAAGCCCATGACCTCACTAGCATCAAATTCTGCCACTCGGGGGGGGCGGGAAGTGAGCCATGACATCACAGCTCCCCCGCTCCTACCCTCCCGTCAAAACCTTGAGACTTGGGCTCATACAGGTTGGATTGTGGCAGCACATAGCAGGGAGGGAGTGATGACCTATATGCAGACGTTGTCACTTTGCCCTGATGGTCTCTTTAAAGTGTTTTCAAAGCCGATACTGGGGGGTTTTTTTGGACTGGATAATATTAGATATAGTGGTGAATAGTGAAAACCAATGTCTGTTTTATTTTGTTGCTTGTCCCTCCATTTCCTGTCCCGGGGACACAACAGTAAGTGGAAAATGCCCCCGTTAGAAGAGTTTATCTCCCCTCCAGCTGTAAAAGTTTGTATTTTCTATCACCTTCCTTGTGAAAATGGTCACCAAGACAAGTAGAAGGGGTGAATCTCCCCAGTGGGGGGGGGGGCACAGACATCAACAGAGACCCGACGGGTTTTAACCCTCTTCTATCAAAAACGAAAAACTATATATACTTTCAAATGGAATACTGTCTTATAAAGGAACAAGGAAGTAGATTACCCCTGGCGCAGCTGCACATGGTGACAGTTTTTGATGCAAAATCAATGGCTTTCTAAATAGATGCTACAGCATGCCTCAAATAGATAAGCAAATTGGAACATTCTAGCAGCTTTCCCCACACTAGAGATGAGATTTTAAGTAAAGAGTTGCCCAGATGATTTTCCACTCTCATTGCTGTCAACTGGAAAAAACATATAGATGTACACCCCCTCCCCCATGGTTCTGGTGCTTCTGTCATGGTGATTCCATTACTTTTTTCAGCAATGTCATAACAGAAATCAAGGTGCTGTCGCTGCAGACTTCTCCAGTTCTCTAATTCCCTGCATATCTTCCAATTTCACATATAAGTGACTGACTTGGAACAAGCTAAAAAAAAGTTGGCACTTCAATCTTCCAGCATCCATATTACTTTCATGACAGGTTCACTTTAAGCCTATTTTGGAGAAATCGTCTTTTTGAAAGTTGCCATGGGAAAAAGTGCCCCATTGGAAGATTTCCCCTCTGGTGGCAACTCAGAATATTGGATTTACTCTGAGGGCCGGTGCAGACCTGGGCGACCCGAGACGCGCGTCCCGGAGCCGTGCGATAATGCACAATTGCACAAAGCATTTGCCGCGCTGCTCCATTGATTTCAATGGGGTTACATCCGCACTTCAGTCACAGAAAATGTAACTTTTTTTGCGACGTGCGGATGTTTTATTCAGTTCCGCTGCAAGGGCGGAATGGCAGGGGGGAAACCGCGCGATCCGCCTTGGGCGACTTCGTTGCCTTTAGAAAATAATGGCACCACCAGCGCGATCGGTGGTGGTGGGCGACTGTGTGACCACATGGCAATTCGTGTGGTATCGTGCTGGATTGCTGCACGGTCACGGATCGCTCAGGTGTAACCCTGACCTAAATTTCATTCCCGGTGACATTGGTGGTCAGAAGAAAAGGAGAGAGTAAATCTCCCTAATGGGCACACAAAGAACAATCAAAATCTCTCACCACTCTATTCAAATCTAAAAACAAGTTTTGCCTTTAGTCATACTTGAAATAAACATGAATGATTCTTTGCTTTGCAGCTTCCCAAGTTTAATTCCCAGCTTTATAAATTATTTCATGAAGCAGTTTATTGTGAATTGATGACCATTTCAGGTAATTTAAAAGCGTACATTTTGGCAACAGAGGGCCTTATGGTTGACCTAGCTAGATGAAGAACGTGTCATTATCTTAAGCAATAAATCAGATTCTCCCTTTCATGTTGCTAGTGAACAATATATAAAAAAAAAAACAAAAAAAAAAACAAATTCTGATTGGAAGCCAGGGGAACAAAAGCTAAAAGTTGTATCTTTACGGAACCCAGCTTTAACAAAAAGTTTCAGGAATACAATCTGGGAGCATAAATTATTCCTTCACAACAGCTTTTGTTGAAATCTCCTAATAATAATAATTTTTGCCTTTTAGGTATGGCAAGCACTGGTATCTGCCGTCGTCCAACTTCATACAGGTTAGGTTTGGCAGGCATGGACATTTGTGAACCATTCGTTTGCCAGAATATGGAATCTAAAGAAAAATATATAAATGACATAGTTATGTATAGATAGTTTACAGTTCTTTTTAACAATTCTCATCTTCAGTCTGAATATAAATGTTCCCAACCACAGATTTATAACTGTCCCCAGCAGTTGACACTTTGTGCGGTTGGTGGCTCTCAGTCCCGGTTGTCACTGACATTTTGGGTCCCCTCTGAAAATCATGAACCAATCAGAATGGTCCCCGATCATGTGAACACTATGTCAGCTGTGGCCTAGTGATCACATGCATGGTATAGGCTTCACGGCAACATACATACAGACATAAATAACAGTTTTCAGTCTGCAAATTAACACTTTCACCTTTAGGGTTGTGGTATTAATACTGTAATACTGTTTAATACTGTAATTGTGAAAAATTTTCTGGCTATACAGTCTCTGTATTGATGGTCAGCAAATATTATCATCCAGGCACTGTTTCAAGACAAGTTCTGCTCACCCTGTGACTGCTCTACAGACTACACTGCAGTTGATCAATTCAGCCTGGTCTAGGACTCTTGTAATAAGACAATCATGGGACAGCAGGACAGTGATGAGATAATTGCTCTGTTCTCTCTTCCTCTCAGGAAACTTTCATTGTTAGATGGACAGCACTACGAAATACAGTAGAACCTGACCGGCTTCCAGTTTTTGCCCTGCCTCTCCCAATGTGAGTGCTATTGTGCAAAGGATTACAGGAGGTTGAAGCCAGGTATATGTAAAAATGCATTAAATGATTTCACGGAATCCATAACTGGATCTAATGCTGTCATGTTAAAGTCCATCTCCAGGCAAGTCTAAATTTTTGAGCAGCAGGTTCCCCTACCCCTGTGCAGTCTCTTTCCTTTCAGAGTAATCCCATTTGCTAAAGTCTGGTTTGCATTTTCTCCTCCCAGGGCCCGATTCCTTGGCTCCCAGCTGAGTCTACAGGGCACCCCACAAAATGGCAGCATGCAAAGTAGAGTGTGTTAAGGAGGTCAGTTTCCTAGCACACAGCTTAGCCGCTTGGGTGACCTGTCTCTTCAACAAGACAAGAAATACTTCTGCTACAACATTCAGCCGCAACAATTTCCTGATCAAGTGATCAGTGCCTCCATGAAGAAGTGACCCAACAATAAAGTTCATCTATTGCTACTAAAAAACACTTTATACTGCAGTTTGATCTGCTACTGCAAACTGTTAACATGCTGCCATAGTAGTGGGATGATCATATGTGATAACATAATTGCTACCATAGCAAAAGAGCAGTGAGAAGGTGGAGCACAGAAACCTCAGAGAGGTAAGCTTGCCATGTAATTTTTTGTAATAACCTGGGGGTAAGTTTGTTTTAAGATATCTATAGTGGCCATGAGTTGCTCATCATCTAGTCTCCTATGCCCCACCTGTCAGGAACTGAGGCTGCCTGGCCCTGAACCTGGGTCTTCCACGCACTGGACCATGACTTATCAGGTTTTCCACCTTGGATTTTGCTTCCGGCCTTCAATCTGCTATAGCTCTGCATACTATAATCCTGCATACTAAGCTTCTCAATGGGCCTCACCTACTCCTGATGTTGTGGCCAATCAGAGTACTTGGCCTTCTATTTAAAGTCTGCCCTGTTTCCTTGCCAGATTATTGTGTGCCACACATAATCCAGCCTGCTGCCTTGTGCTCCTTCAGTTACTACTTGGAAATTACTATGGCTTGTAACCCAACTAAGAAACTCTTCCCCAACAACGACACCGGCTTGTGACTCTTCTTCTGCATAGACCTTGGCTTGTGACCCAGACACTGATTCCTGTCTAGTGATTCGGACTATTTAACCTCTTCTTCTCTAAGGACTGTGCTTAGCCTGAAGGTCCCGCCACCGGTCTCCACTCTCTACAGGTATTCTCCTAACACTACCAGACCTATAATAAGGAATTGATTTGTGGGAGACAGTTTGCTATGGCAGCTCAACTTGTGAAGGAACCTTGAGATTTTGGAATGTATCCATGAGAACAGAGCACAATCCTGCAACCCGCCTTCACCGAAGGTGAAGGTTAGATCCCAAGGATAGATCCCTGAAAGTGGCTGTATTTTTTTATACCAGTAAATCAACTTTTACAGCTGTTGAAGGTCTTTGAGACTTTTATTTTCTTCATAACCACCTACAAAACCACTAGCCATTGAAAGGTTGTGCTTTTGTCTGGGATCCAGAAATCTTGGCATACGTATGTATGAACACATCTGTCAAAGATGGGCTAGCTTAACCAACCATAAACTATGTGGAGCTTAACCAGAACAGAGTGCCAAAAAATATTCCAGAATAGTCCATACATAGTTTAATTAATTCAGTACGTGATAATGGGGAGAACAAAAGGCAGCCAACGTGTTTCCAGGGCCATACAACCCCGTTTTATCTGGGCTTAAAACAAGTATTTAACAGACTCTGGGTAAAATTCAGAGCCAAGGGGCATAGTGAGTGAAAGGATGCCTGTGTAAGCATCTTTTCTGATTCAACTCTATAGACTACTCAATTTTGGGTGACCCCTGTCCTTTTGGAGGGGGGCCCCCGCATTGTTGAGAACCACAGAACCTGTGCCACATGGTTCCAATAAGGACCTTGTTTTCTACTGGTGGAGGATCCCAACTGAACCTATGCCATATGGTTTCAATAAGAAACTTGTTTTCTACTGGTGGAGGATCCCAACCGAACCTCTGCCATATGGTTCCAATAAGGACCTTGTTTTCTACTGGTGGAGGATCGCAACTGAACCTATGCCATATGGTTCCAATAAGGACCTTGTTTTCGACTGGTGGAGGATCCCAATTGAACCTATGCCACATGGTTCCAATAAGGACCTTGTTTTCTACTGGTGGAGGATCCCAACTGAACCTATGCCATATGGTTCCAATAAGGACCTTGTTTTCGACTGGTGGAGGATCCCAACTGAACCTATGCGACATGGTTCCAATAAGGACCTAGTTTTCTACTGGTGGAGGATCCCAACTGAGCACCTCGCCCCCACCTCTCCTTTAAGCGATTTGTATGACAGCCTTAATGATCTGATCATAATTTTAAGTTTGCCATCAATGCAAAAAGATGAATCTGAAAGAAATACATGTGCTTGGCACCGTTACAAAATTATTTTTGTACAGGGAACAGAAAATTGGAGTTTTCCCAAATATATAGCGTTAGCAACAGTTATTATCAGCAAGGACTTACTTTATGACTTAATGGGTGACAGTCTTCACCCTCATTGCCAAGAGGAGTACACATTCGAAGGCCTCTTATCCAAAGGCTCACTGCACAACACATCCCTCCTCCACACTGAAGATCCCTTTCACAAGCCTGTCAATAAAAAAAAAATATACAAACTTAATTTCACACAACAAAAACGTGCCACATGCTTAAAACACATAATAGAAGCAGCATAATTCTATGGAATGCCATTTTAAAAAGTCCTTGCAATACAATAAAAATGTGTCTATGATTGTTAAAAAAAACCTCTAAAGCTTTACGGAATGCCACAATGAATAGTATTGTGCATGTTCAATATGTAAAGAATGGTGTTTTCGAAACAGATTGCAAGCAGGTGTCAAGGCGTTTAGCAGGAAAGCTAAGTATGACATCTAATTGCCAGTGTTAAATTGTGTTTTCTGAGTAACACTGTAAATATGTTATTACATTGTAAACCACAATTTCTGGCTCCCCCCTCCCCTATTGTGTACTCAATAATTCTTTTTTTTTTAAATACATTTTTCATGCGTCAATATTACATTGTGCTGCAGGGCTCCATGGTGAACCCTATGGTCCATGACATCCTACACACACAAGATTTCCTCAGTCTTCTGGGTCACAGGTTAGGCGTCATTCAACCCGGAAGACTGAGGACATCTAGTGGCGGAAAAGAATTGCTGCAGGGGACAGTGCCGGAAAGGAGGTGAGCATTGCAGCCTGAGCTACACTCTATATGGCAGCCTGAGCTACACTCTATATCACATTTTTTCATTATCTTTGTTTACACCTAACTATTCCTAATAGTAGCCGGGCAGTCAGGATTGTGCCAAACAAGTCTTGTCTGTTTTCATGTGCAGAGTTGTTTTTTTACTTAAGTCAGAAAGATCCTGCTATATTGAGAAGATTGTGTCAACAAAAAAGAGACATGGGGTACCCTGCTTGACATCAAAGCCCCTCTCTTCCCATTCACATCAGAAGTTCCCCTTAACATCCAGAGCAACCTTCAGATCAGAGTCTCCCCCTTTCACATAATAGCAACCCATTCACATCAGGAGCCCCCTTTTTACCTCAGGGTCACCCCCCTCAGATCAGAGTCCCCCCTTCACAGCAGGAGTCCCCGTTCACATCAGAGTCCTCGCTCCCCCTTCACATCAGAGTCCGCCCTTTATGCAAAAGCCCCACCCTTTCACATCAGAGGCCCCCCTTTCACATCAGGAGCAATGTTCATATCAGACCCCCCTTTCACATTAGAGTTACTCTTTTTCTTCAGGAGCCCCCTTTTCACACCAGAGATGCCCCCTTCAGATCAGAGTACCCACTTTCACATAAGAGTGACACCTTCACATCAAGAACCCCATTCACATCAGAGCCCTCAGTTCCCTCTTCAAATCAGAGTCCACCCTTTACGACAAAACCCCCCTTTCACATCAGA